CAACAAAGTCTACATGGAAGAAGCACACCAGACTGTGATCATGAGGTATTGATAGAGTATCAGGCATCAAAGACCCAGAACAAAAAATCATACCACTGTGAGTGAGAGGAAGTGCGGAGTGGAGACCCAAAGCCCAACTGTAGACAATTGGATTCCCTTACAGAAGGGTCACAAGGAAGAGACGAGCTAGTCAGGGTGCAGTATATGCTATACCAATGAAACATACAACTTTCCTCTAGTTCTTTAATGCTTCCACCCACCATCATGACCCCAATTTTACCTTACAAATCTGGCTAGACCAGAGCATGTACAGATAAGAGTTGGAAACACAGGGAATCCCAGACAGATAAACCCTTCTGGACCAATAATGAGAGTAGCAATAACAGGAAGGTAAGGGGAAGGTGGGAGGAGAAAAGGGAAGCCGATCACAACGATCTACATATAATCCCCTCCCAGGGGGACAGACAACAGAAAAGTGGGTGAAGGGAGACATGCGTCAGTGTAAGACTTGAAAAAAAAATTATAAATTACCAAGGATTCATGAGGGAGGGAGGGGGAAAATGAGAAGCTGATACCAAGGGCTCAAGTAGAAAGTAAATGTTTTGGAAATTATGGTGGCAACATATATACAAATGTGATTGACACAATGGGATATATGTATGGATTGTGCTAAGAGCTGTACAAGCCCCCAATAAAAAGATTTAAAAAGAAAAAGAAAACTGGATAACAATACAGGCAAAAACATTCCATACCCCCAAATAATAATAAAGTATAGAAACCCCAAGCAAAAACAAATCTTTGAACAGATACTTCACAAAAAGAATTTCAAATAGCCAGTATATGTTAAAAGGGTTTGAAGTCATTATTAACTGCTACTAGTTGCCAGCCAATCGATTCCAGCTATGGCAACCTGTGTGCATAGCAGAACTGCTTCATGACAACATAACCTTGACAACAGATCATCAGGCTTGTCTATCAGGACTTCTCTGGGAAGGATCCAACTGGTGGTTGAGCACTTCATCATTTGTGCTACCCCAGGAACCCTCATTAGTAACCAGGGAAATGCAAAATAAAACCACTAATAGATCCTACTGCACCACCAGACTGGCAAAAACGAAAAAGATTAAAAATATTGAGTATTCAAGAGCATATGGATGATCAGTAAATGTCCTATATTGCTGATGGGAGTGGGAAAAAATACAGCAAAGAGATCTTTGAACATGATCTGGCATTATCCGGTACAGCTGGAGTTATACCAATAAACCTCTTCTAGGAACACACACAGAAATGGCTGCACAGGTGCAGCAGGGGAGCCATGCAGATAGTAACTCCACTAGAAACTATCTAAATACTTGTCTTTACAATGTGTACATTTTGGGTTCGTCTTATAATATTATACAGCAGTAAGAGGGAGTGAACCACAGCAAGATGCAACAGCAATGAATCTCAGAGATGTGTTGAATGATGTGCGATGCAAAATGGATAATCCCACATAAAGTTCAAAAATAAGCAACAACAACAAAAAAGTCCCCTAATGCATGCGTAGGTGGTAAGACATACGGAATATTCCAGAAAGTCTGGATGGATGTTGCTTCAGTGTGGAGGAAGACAGGCCCTCCGAATCGGGGTGGAGAACTTCAGGCTGCTAGCAGTGTTCTAAGTTTCACCTGATTTATTTTCTAAGAAGAGGCTTCAAAAGTCAGTGGGAACATGGAACTGCAAGAGGATGGAATTTTCCCACCAACTTTTTGAAGCTTCTCTATAGATATTTATTAAATTAGACACAATTTATAGATTTCTCTGTATGTGTTCTACGTTCACAATGATTTTAAAGAGGCTTAAAAAATACGGAGGAAAAAAATCCCCTATTCTCCATATATTTTCATGTCTTGGTGTGATGCCTAAAACTGTAGAAGGCTGTTTGGATGGGACACGGCTGAAGGCTGATAGAAGGGCCTCCAGATGGGGCATTCCCCAAAGAAATAACTAGCTGCATTGGTTGGTTGGGCTCGGTTTTGCTTTGAGTTTTAAACAGAATTACTTCCTTGGCCTCTTAAATGGTTCACAACTTTACGTTCACTTTCTTATGTATATATTACTATATGCTACATAAGGAGCCCTTGTGGCCCAGTGGGTTAAGCATTGGATTGCTATCTGAAAGGTTGGTGGTTGTAACCCACCAGCTGCTGCACGGGAGGAAGATGAGGCTTTGTGCTCCTGTAAAGATTTACAGCCAGAGAAAGCCTATTAAGTAGTTCTGTTTTGCCCTATACAGCTACTACTTTGAGTCGGAAAGAACTTGACGGCTACAGGTACATTGTACATGATTATTTTCAGATTTACGAGTTTCAATCAGGAACTCTCTGCCAATGTCAAGTTCTAATTTTTGGACAATTCTAGTTTGCACTAAATAGGATCTAGACCTAAACATAGATATCATGGAAATAAGTCAATTTTACAAGACTCACATAATTAATTACATCACAAGTCTATTGTATAAACCCTCATCACTAACTCCTGGTCAATACGTTTTGATTTTCTCTGGAAAACTGTGATCAAATTAAACATTTTTGTAAAAGCCAATGACAATTCTTACCATTGAAAGTAAAATAAAACCAACTAGCCCATTTTACTAAACATACTAAATCAGTTAAACAGTGAGACTTTATACATGGGGCACTACCATAGTCCTAGGACAGCCGTTTTATGTCAGATCTGTCTTCAATTCGCTCACAAGAGACTTTTAAACTTAAGATGTGAATTAAAAGGTTTTATATGAATTTTCAAAAATTAAGATGCTTAAGCTCAAAAATCTTAAGCGCATTTAAAACAACTTCAGATGTGATCTGAATGGCTTGTATTTTTCAACATGAAGTAGATGTCAATTTTGAAACGCCCATTAATCCTAAAAAGCCATGGTCTATGACAGCATTGTAAATCCATCCCTCATTTGAAACTCAGCATTAAGCAAAAATGGAGGCTGATCATCTAGACTCACAAATCAGAAACATGGAGATAACTACATCATTATACAAGAATGGTGAACACACTTTAGCCAGCACAGCCAGTGGTAACTCTTGCCTCACATCTCAGTGTTACTGCCAGACATTTATCATTAATGTGCAAAATGAATTCTTTTTTAACAATTGTCAGATAATAGGCTCACTGATAAATGAGAGACAGAGTTCTACAGGCTAAGCATAGATGACCAGTATCTCTGCTCAGTTCACTCCTCTTTGCTTGCTCAACTTCGCCCAGGTAGAAACTAAAAATGATTAGTCAAACATGTTCACAGCCAGAGAACGCTGGATGCTGCTCTTGCGGTGACTTTCAGAAATGTCCGCTTAATAGAGTTAAATGATGTGTTCCCCATCCCCTTCCACTCCCACCCCTTGTTGTAAGAATGTATGTAGCACCAAAGGCTTGCTCACAATAGCAATTTCTTGTCTGGCGTTTTAAAAGATCTCAAAAGACCATATCCCATGACACTCCATGGCTTTTCTTATCTCAGACAAAAATTAAAGCTGCTACCTTTTTCAGATTCTATGTCATCTGTATGCTAGTGTTTAGGCTATGTGTTAATAGTGAAGACTCTCCATTAAGCTCAATTTGTGGCTGTCACTCTGAAAAGAATCCATGAGTCTGTGCTCACATTACATAACCATCACTTACATAACAAGCCCAGCCTGTCCCGTAGCAGAACGGTAGTTAGGAATGGGGTAGGCTTTGTTCAGAAGATTGTCTGCTTTAACTGGATGACCATACTCATGAATTGCAGACAATTGCCAACATTAAAAAACGTTACTCTGGATGGCTTGAGTTTGCTTACAGAAATACTGCACGTGAATCTTTTCATTTCATGCAAATCCTATCAAGCATATGAAATCTAGGGCTCTCCACCTTCCCCATGTGTCCTAACCTGCATGCCGGTCTGCTGACAAGCAGAGTTTTCTTCTCCCTATTCCTTTCCATCACCACCACCATGCCCTACCTTGCACATTGTGAAGAGGCAGGAGCATGACAAAAAGCACCACATATTGCAGTGGTTGTAATCTGGGGAACCGAAGGTATTCATTCTCACCTGACAAACTAGCACACTAGCAGGAGAGATTCTGGTAGTCAGTGAATACACAGAATTGACACCAGGTTACAAAGGAAGCCCAGGTTCCATCCGAGGCTCAGAGCCTTTAAATGGTGATTCTTAATGCCCTAGTTACCATGTGCATGACCGCCGATGCCAGAATGAGCTCAGGTTCTTGCCAGTAAGAGTTCAGTAGTACCTTTTATCATTTTGGGGGAGGGCACGGTTGTCGTTTCCCAAGCCTACCTTCCAACAGTAAAAAAGGGCAGTAACCAGGAGCATTTCTACTCAAGAGATCAAGGAAGGCTCATGTATACTCGAGTATAAGCCGACCCACATAAACGCCGAGGCACCTAATTTTACCACAAAACTGGCATTAAAAATGTGCTGAAACTCTGCCTATACTCAAGTATATACGCTATCTGTAAATGGAATTCAATGATTCCAAATCTATTTTCAATGTAGCACGGTGAAGTACCCAGAATCATAATTGCTCTATGTGAAATTGACTTAGACCAGGTACTCTGCAGTGGCAAAAGCAAGAAGTGTGTCCAGACAATCCACTGTGTAGTGAAGCTGGGCCCGCAACCCAAACCAAGAAATTGACAGGACTACAGTGCATACACTGCAGATATGCTTAAGTCCCGAGGAGAAAGCACAGATCCAAACGGGAGCCACGTCCCACCGACCCCCCAAACCTATCAACCTTTAGTTTCTACAATCTTACACCCAACATTCTAAACGATGAGCGTGGCGACTGGAGTAATTCAGAGAAACAAACAAAATCATGAGTGTCCAGAACCTGGATTTCTGGCAAAAGGATAAAGACAAAGTCTCCTAGATCACACACCAAGAAAACTATCAGGTGACAAGGGGGAAAAAAAACCTCTCACCTTCACTTTAAAAATATTGGGTTATTATCACTTCTCAGTCTTTGGGCTCCGATCAAGTGTAGTATCTGTTCTTATCTGTTTAGTATCTGAGACGTCCTCTATCCGAGGACAATATTTTAAATGGATTTTTGGAGCAGGGAGATGGACTAGGAGCTTGCTCGGTCTACCCCATGCATCGACCTGGTATTACAGTGCATCCAGGAACAGTGCACGCCTCCTCGGGGGACTTAAAAAATATATATACACACACACATATATATATTGGGTTACACTGGAAAATAAAATCAATAAAAACCGTTCCTCCAATTTATTCCAAGTTTCAGAGCTACTTGTTATTGCAATTGTATTTCTCGCTCTTGGTTGGGCCACAACCACCTTTGGGTGGTCATTGCAATTCCCTAAAAAAACACACACACACACACACACACAATTTGCAACTCCCTAAAAAAATACACACACACACACACAGTCATTTTAAACATGTGATTAAAAATGGAGTTTCAGAGCAATGGTCACTAACTTATGCTTGCCATCCAAGCACCAACAGAAGAGTCCTGTAATCTATTTCAGGTCGGTCTGTGTAGAAAAGGAAGCCCACGGGGTGGAGGTGTGGACTGTGCATCCAAGGGAGGAAGAGGAGACAGTCTGGTCCCATTACATTTAGGCTCGGAAACCCTAGCTAAGAGTCGCGTGGCTGCGGCTCTGGGTGCCAGTGACCTGACTGAAGTACAGGAATGAGAAGAAGGTGGAGGGTTTGGAAAAGAGAAAAATTCCACAGGCAAGACAAACATCCAAAATGGCTCAACATAATTTATTTTTTTATGTTAAAATGTACAGAGTTCTTTTGAAAGTACTTGCTAGAAAGGGGAAAAAAAAGTGATATTACATACAATAGGAGAGGAAGGGAGGCCAACTGGCCCAGGAGCGCATGATGTGGAGAAATACAAAGGCATCTAGGCACCCCTTCCCCTTAGCTTACAAGTCACCATGAACAAAGTACAAAGAGGTTACAAAACAGGAAAAGCAAATATAAACAGACAGGAATAGACTTAGCTTCATTTGTACATGCGGCTTTTAGAGGCATCTGGAGCTCTATTCACACACTCTAGAGATCTCTTTAAAGAGAACTTTTATCTTTCTTAAAATAGTTTTTAATATTCTACAACAAAGATAAAAAATTTCAAAGATGGAATGAAATGAAAAAAGCTCTTATTTTAAAAGGCATCAAAGTCACTAACAGTGTTTTTTAAATTTCTTTTTTAGAAGATTACCCAAGTTATCTTGCTAAAAATACATTTTTTTAAAACAGAAGTGAAAAAATGACAGGTACCAATATTACTGTGTTGGATAATTTCTTTTATAATATAGAAAAGAACATTTTCTCTACAATAGTTCTACAGTCACAAAGAGGCTTGTGGAAAGGAGCTGCCCGATTGAATTTTTTTTTTTTAAAGAATCCAACAAAACCAAACACAACGGCAAACCAACAGAACCGGAATCCACGGCCCTCTTCCAACAGCTTCTCCTTCCGCCTTGACCCACCCTCCTCCCAAGAGACCTCCCTCCCCACCCCACCCCATCCCCACCCCAACCAGGAAGCAATGACAGAGCTGAAGATGTAGGGCAGAGGGCAGCACAGTGCATTTCTACATGGTGATTGGGGGCTGGAATAGTATATACAGAGAAACTGGGTCCTACACAGCCTCGCACATGCTCAGGATTGATAGCGGTAAGGTGTGGAATTCTGCCTTTTTCTAGCTAACACACTTAACTGAGAAAGTCAATTGAAGTGTATAAAAAAAACCCAACAAACCTGTGCATTTGAAAAAATTTAATGCCTAATTAGTCGTTTAAAAATTTATCTATATAAAATGTACAAATAAAGGAGAGAATTTAATGCTTACAGGTATTTCTTTAAGCAGTATTCCCCCCCTTTTGGATATCTGACTGCACATACCAAGTGGTATAATAGTTTCCATCATCTAATGATGGAATATATATACATATGTATGCGTGAGGGTGCATATATATGTATATAATGTTTTTACCTATCCCTGGAGCAAGTAATAGGAAGAGAAAGGGAGAACTGGTTGCACAAGAGAGAATGGAGTTGGGAGCCACATAGGAACCTGTTAAAATTCCGCTGTCCAGATCTGCCCTGCAATGCTGGTGGTCTATCGATCCCTCTTATTAGCCACTCACAGGAGAGGGGCTGGCACACTCTGATTCGCAAGGGATGAACTCAGAATCTCAAGACAACTGAAGACTAGAGGTATATGTATCACTGAAGTAGCTATTAAGACACACACTGTAAACTCCCTCACAACACACATTCCGCATCATCTCTTCCAACCCAAAAGCAACCGCGCCAAAGGTCGGTCGGGCACTTTCCAGATCACCGAAATCTATAGCCATCCACCAACACTTTCCGAAAGAAACGTTAAGAGGCAAACCACCGGGGACTGACTGCTGTTTTGAGTTTAATCAGAGTCAAAGGCTCGAGATTCAAAGACCCTTAGCATTTCAGAGTACATACTAAAAACAAGAGGCCGAGTGGAAAACGTGCATTATGGCTGATTCACCAGGTGGTAAAAAACAAGAGGCTCGCTTCCTCTTTTTGATTGTTAACTGACCATCTCTATTCCTCCAAAGGCTCGATTAGGATCAGGATCGCAAACAGCTTTCCTCTGAGATCCTGCTGTTAATTGAGACTTACAGTATTTTTGTGTCTCTGAGTGCTGAGTGGGAATAGTTTTTAAAAAATTATATTACACTTGACTTACGAAAACAAACATTTCAATGAAGTCCGTTTATAAAGAAACATTCTTGGGGGAAGGTTTCAAGAGGTGTGTGTGTATAGGGAGTGGAGGGGATTTAAAAAGGAGAAGCATTTTCCTGCCTCGCTTTATTAATAATAATAATAATAACATTAACAATAATAATAAGTTTAAGGAGCTTGGGTTGTTCTCCATGTCCCCATCCGAGTCTCCCGTAAGTGCCTCCTGCTGGAATGAAGTAGGATATGAAAGGTTAGGTTTGGAGGAGAGGGGCCGGTTCGCCCCTCGAGATGTATATATAACATTTAAAAATGACAACATTGGGAGCTGCAAACAGTGAGGGGGAAACATACATTTTAAAATAAAATAAAGATAATTCACCTTTACACAAATCTTGTCCATGTGGTGTGTAAAGAAAGTAAGGCTCTTTTTAATTATGAAAAGGTTTTGTGCATGTTTCCCCGATCCCCGAATCCATTTTTAGATGAGTTCTACTGTAAAATGCTTCACAATTGTGAAGGAGACCAAAACCCAGGACAAAATGAACCCAAAAAAGGGAAGATCAGGCTTTCTAAAAAAAAACAAAAAAAAAACAAAAAGAACAACAACAAAAGAAACCAAAGAAAAATTCCTCTAAATCTACAGCAATATTTTAACTGGAAAAAAAGGTCCGTTTTTCTCTGGTTTGTCAGTATAAAAGGTTCCTTTATTTATATATATTTAAGTTTTTAATTGCAAGTCCCTCTTGCTCATCTTCTCATGTAAGGTCCATTGAGTGGCTGCTTGGGCACGCCAGCAGCATTCATGTAGCTGTGATGGGAGGGGCCAGTGTACATCATGTTTCCATGAGGGTTTGGCTGCATAGGCTGCTGGGTATAGGCCTGGCTCCCCATCATCCCCATCTGCATCTGCATAGGATACTGTGCTGTCTGGTTCATGTAGGCAGGGTTACTATGGTAACTGCTGTTCATCATGGGCTGTGTCATTCGATAGCTGTTCATGGCATTCAAGGTGTTCATATTCATGGAATTAACATTATAGGCAGGGGTTGGCATTAGGTTAACCCCCATGTTCATGCCACGTTGAACAGCCAGTGCACGAGGACCAGCCTGCATGGCAACTGCCGGTGGGCTTCGGCCATACAGCTGCTGCTGGTGAGCAGCTGCAGAGGGCAGTGGCGCAGATTTGGAACGAATGGAAATGTGCCCCTTGACTGGCATCTGCCCTTGCAACCTCTGAGTGTGGGGAATGCCAATGTTGGTGGCAGACATGTTGCACTGCAGCAGAGGTGACGTGAGGTTCATGGTGGTGGATGCCAAATTGGGGGGCGGCGTCATGGTGGCTTGTGCTTGAGGGGTCCCAGCTAATGGATGAGATGGAGCTAGCTGGGCCAGTCCTGTATTAGACAAAGAAACACTGGTTGCATAGGAAGTCACAGCAGGAGAATGGCTATAAGGCATGGCATGAGGGTCCATAATGGTGTTAGTCAGCTGCTGTAACTTGGCTAAACTGAAGGTGGCTGACGGTTGAGAGTAGCTGCTGGCACCAAAATCCCCTGGGATCCTCTCATAGATACTTATGTTCCCAGTGCTTCCAGATTCCGGTATCTCCATGATCATAGGTGCGGGAGTGAAACTATTATTCATACTACACTGTGACAGGGGAGGCTGCTGCTGGGGTGGGGGTGGGGGCTGAGGCTGCTGGGGCTGCGGTGGCGGCTGCTGCTGCGGCTGCTGCTGGGG